ATTTTGATACATCTACAGGGGGACCTAGTCCTTAAATGGAACTTCTCTATATTCAGAAGCTCTCCAAGCTTTTCTTCCTAGGATTGAGAAATTCATAATGTGAGATATCAGTATTTCCTAATTTTAAAGTTTCCCTAGGATATGTAACCATCAGGAGCTGGTATCAACTGAACAGATAGGGAAGTTTTCAAAAATTAAACACTATCTATTTTTTCTGCAAAGTCTTTATTCATGAATTAACTGTCTTTCCCTTTGTCCACGATTCCCAGAACAAATATAGAAGTTTGTTCATGTACTGATAGTAATAAAGCTGAATTCTCTTTAAGAGAATGATAATTAAAAGGCAAAAGCTCATATATAATGTTTAGTTATACTGTGAGTCTTGTGAGAAGTTAAGAGACAACTCCATTAACTCACCAGAATACGGAACTCAGTCTCACAATTTCTTGTACACAATCAATACCTCTCAAACCCTTTCCTCAAAGATTAAATTTCGAAAATAACCACGTGACTATTTGTTCACCAATGGACTTTGTTGCTATTTCCTCCTTATTATGAGTTGAATGGCATGACAAAGCAGAGGCAAAGAGGCACACGATCAATTCTCAAGGTATTAAGTCAAAAAGGTCAGAGCTTCCATAGCATGGCAACAGCTTTGCAGATGCCCACATCATGATAGTTGAAATAACAAAGCCCAGCAAAGGTTAAAGCCGAAAGTGCCAAAAGGCCTGCCTTCGCAGCTTTCTGCGATGCATCCCCATGAACATAGTCAGTAACAACTTGTCCAAGGCCCCAGTGACTATGGAGAGTAATGGCTGCAGCCAGAGAGTAGTCCATCGCAGAACAAGGATTCAAATAAGCAGCTGGAAGCAGGCCCAGGAGCATAACACTGACAACCCTCTCACTAGTCCAGTGGAGAGATGCAGCCTTGGAATCAGAATGGCGGATCAGTGACAGGTGTATGTGCTGCGCTCCACACCATCCTGGGGCAGGTCGGTCCTGGAGAAATGCTGAGACCTGAGCAGGTCTGACCACTGGGGTTCGGAGGAATACAGCTCTGCCTCCTTGGACACCGCAGAGGACATTCAGCCTCCAGAGAACCGCCATATTGCTCTAGACCAGTAGTTGGTAATTTAATGAACATAATGGATGCACTGAGAATTGCTGACCAAGGGAGCTACCTTGGAACTAAAATAGAAATGAGGATGAATAATTGGTTCCATATTGGCTAAAGGTTTGTGAGGTTCTAATAATCCTGGGTTACACGACTGACTTACAGTCATGAAGTCTGACTCCAAAT